ATGCTATGCCCTGACAGAAGAACTTACACAGAAGAAAACAGTGATTTTGGTCGAGGAGATTTTAGACAGAAGCTGACACTCAAGTGCTAAGTTTCTGAGACAGATGATGACTTACCTTGGTTTCGGGGCACTGCTAAAACTGCTGTTGGACTGATGGGGAATGATGTTCTATTTTTTTTATTATTTCTTCTGAAGCTTTACTTCAAGCTCTGCTACAATCCTAACTTTGATTTCAGTTGTGTTTACGGATTTACACTTTGCTGTCAACAGCAATCAACTGATTGAAATCCATAAATAATAAACATCAATTTTCAATTTAAGATGCGGTAACGAGATGCTATCGGATGAAGTTTTACGTACTTTAGCAGCTTTTTATAGCTGACCCCCCCAGAGCAAGGTCCTGACACATTCCCAGTGAGAAGGAGCTCATCTCTTTCCCCCGTGTTTGTCGAGAGCCACGTGACAAATCCCACAAGGCAAGTGAAGGAGACACACACCTGTTTGTGGAAGGGTCATATAGAAAGTCCCAAGACATTTTAGCATCTCCCAGTAAGCTGAGGAACTTGACCTGCTTTACCCTTCGTAGGATACATAATATTAAATTAACAACTAGAAAATAAAATTWAAAAAAAAAAGACATACTAACATGAAAAAACACATTTTATTGCACTTAAGTTATAAGAAAATAAAATTTCTAAGTGAATCAAACCATAGACACAATCCCTTTAAAGGTTGTTTTCCTCCATCATGTCAGGTTGTTACATAACTAAAATTAACCAACTGGAATCTGATTGTTTTAAATCAGACTATAAATAAAACAAAAAYAAAAACAAAAAAGGAGGAAAAAAGATCGCCTAGGATACAGTGTTAAACCACTTTCACAGTTCAGCTTGAGTTGTGGCTCTTGGAGAATGAGGCAAACCATTTGACTCTTTCATTTCTCATTTTGTTTGCATGTGACATCTTTACAAAAACCTAAGTTTTTGCTCTGTCAGTTCCTCCCAGCAATAACTGTAACAGTTGTTTTTTTTCTCAAATACTGTAAAACACTAAGACTGACCAGCAACTTTATTTTAATTTTTGTATTTTATAATATTTTTAAAAAATTTTGTCAGTTTTTTTTTAATGTATGTTCATTCCATTCACCACAGCCCTCACAAAGAAAAATTTCCCCACAGAACAGGCTGCAATAGCTTTGTTCCAAGGAATGTGTTTTAATTTTTGCCCAGAAAAAAGAAAATAAGCTTTGCACACACACTCAATTCTTTATTTGCAGGCAAACTTCACTCTTAATTGTCTGAAACTCTTCCACTCTCAGCCTCTTAGAGGCACAGTTGGCTCAAGTTTCAGTGGCAAAAAGTCTTTTTCTGTAACCAAACTAGAGCAAATTTGGAATTCAGTCTGGGACTAAAACGTCACAGCAGAAAAAAAAATAAAAAAAAATAATTTGCTTTTCTTTCTTTCATTTAGCAGCATAAATAAGTTTGGCCACTGGGAATACAGTACAGGGGTGGGACAACAATCCCGTAATTGAAGACCTACTTCTAGCACCAGCATTGCGAATTAAATCCATCAGAGGACTCTCAAAACCCAGGACAACTTGCCACCTCAGAGCAACTTATGCGTTGAAGAGTGTAGATGGAAGCAACAGTAAATAGATTAAACAGAGGCTAATACTGTGATTGACATTGGCAATGGTTGGCAAAAAAAAAAAAAAAAAAAGAGGAATAAAGAAAAAAAAGAAAAAGCTCTGATAAAACTGTACAAAACAATTCACAGTAATATTTTAGCTTTTCCACACCAGGAATGGACTCTTTGTTTTTGTTTTTGTTTGTTTTTCTCATTGCAGATGCTCTCTAGTTTTTGAAAGTCAACCAGTGACTGCTGGCRGAGGTTGGAAGGGACCTTGGAGGAGTCCGGTCCAACCCCGTGCTGGGAGCGGGGCTAAGGGACAGCGCGTTGCTCGGAGGGGCTGCCAGGACCCAGAGTGACCCAGGGCTGCACCAGCAGGCTCGCCTGTGCAGCTTATTTCCAGATCTTTGTGGTAAAATAACTTGTTAACAAGAACTGTAACATTTTTTTTTTTCTCTCCAAATTGCTCAAGGAGCATTTGGAGGAAAGTAAAGAAATTAATTGCACCTGGTTTCATTTCAGAAGTTGGATTTTTGCAAAGCTGCCCCGGTCAAAAGTGTAGCCTTTTTATGTGACGAGACAGCAAAAGCCTCTCTTGTCAGTTATAGTTTGTCATCTTTGTCTTCTCCTTCGTAGTCTGTAGGTCTTTAGGATCTGTTGCCCCAAGGCAACATCCTGCACCACCAAGGACAAGGGATTTTTTTCCTTTTTCTTTTTTTTCTTTTTTCTTTTTTTTCAGGGGGGAGGGAAAGGAGAACATCGTCTACACGTTTGGACAAATTCATCTTTCTGCCCTTCACTTCATATCGACGTCAAAGTCCAACACCAGCAGCTTTGTTTCCTCAGTCCCGTTGCGGCTCCCAACTGCACACACCAGCTTTGTGTTGGAAGCTCTGATTCGCCACACGACGCCTCCGCTTCCCCCGCTCTCCAATGTGACTAGATTTCGGATAAATTCACCCGTTTTCAAGTCCCAAAGTTTTACAGTCCCATCATCTGAGCTGGTAATTACAAAGTTCTTGTTGAACTGTAAACAGGTCACAGCACTCTGATGCTTGTTGGGACCTGGAAGAGTAAACAAAAACATTTCTATTTGTAATTAATTAGAAAGCAATGATGTCAGACAGCACTGCATCTACAATAAACACCTTGGTATTTGCATACAGTTGTTTCCATCTATTAAAACTGTTRCAGAACTATCTGCTACAGCCCCTGGGTTTGTCCAGCAAAAGGTACAGAAGCCGTGCCATGCTTTCAGAAAGTGAAGGCAAGCATAAAAAAAATCCTCCGTATTTTCTTCTTTGTTTCAGTGATCTTGTTGTGTTGTAATCAGCAGCAGGGCAAACRTGCACTTGGACATCCATGAAAATGGACTTAAACCATCCACAATGAGGTGACCACTGTAAGAATTCGTCTCCAAGTCCTTTTGARCTGTTATTATAGGATTACTCCATCAGTAAATATTGAGTTATATGCTGACATATAAATATATATGTTAAAGCAGCAGAGTTTGCTTTACAGGGAAATTCAATTTTCTGTTCCAGCCAGCACTGCTGCATATGATATATGGGAATGATATAAGACCTTTTTTTTGTGGGGAGAAACATAACCATGTGCTTGTGTCCATAATGCCTGAGTGGCAACTGTCAGCATGGAGGAAAAAAAAAATCTTTCTTCGTGCTGAAATAAAGAAAACATCTTCCACTTGCATCTCTTGATTTATTGCAACAGACAGTGTACTTTGCCTCCTGATCCAATTAATCAGTAGGCTTTGAAACATTCAAGTGACCCCTAAATAAATACATTGACTGACTATTTTGAGATGTAATTTCCTACATATTTCTGTGGCATATTAGGCTAATATACCCATAGCAAATTGCTATCAGTCCAGACCATCTGCCTTTCATAATAGGCAAGTGATTTGAATAGATTAGATTAAATACATTTTGTTCTTCTAGTTCAGAAAAAGATCATACAGCTGTCATCAGAAAAATATTTAAGTTGTAAGTGGTTGGTGCTTGCTTCTTTGTAATTATTTTAAAGGTTTTTTTATGTACAGTCTGCAGCACAGATCACTGTAGGCTGCTTGATTTACATGAAGGTGGTTTAAGCTTACCTTGCAATGTCTGTAAACATTGTCCTGTTTTAATGTCCCAGATTTTGACTGTAGAATCAGCATTCCCAGACACAAGTATATTGTCCTTGAGTTCCATTCCACTTGTGAGYGACTGGTGGCCTGTTAGAGTGTGAATGCAGTTTCCTGTCTCCACATCCCAGACTCGGATGGAGGTGTCAAGAGATCCACTCACCACATGGATACCATCAAACTACAAGAAAGGTAAATCTATTACAAACAATTGTATTAGGATCTTACAAAAAAGGCTATTAAGCATTTAATTCACTAAATGCAAGGTTAGATATCAGATATATTCAGAAACTGCAGTACAAAGTAAGAACTCAGCAGAGATGGCCACATTTGCTATCAGAGCAGGTGATTCATGGTCAGAGCTGTTCTGCTGTAGACATGTGGGCTCTCGAGGTGTGTGGTTTGAAAAGAGACTCGGAGCCCCAGGTCTTTGAAATGCAATACACCTCCTTTAAACACAGCAGAACCTGACTATCCTGCAGTGTGCAGCAGTAAGAGAAAGTTACTTTTCCTAAAAAAGATGCTAACACACCAACCCTGCTTTTTACAAGTCAGAGGGACTTGAGGCAGGAGAACAACAACAGCATTATTGCAGAATCATCTACACAAAAGTCACAACATAGGAAAACGAAAGAAATGTAATTCAAAAATACCGGGTTTAGCTATTTTATAACCCTAATTGTGTAGAGTAAGGAACTGTAACTTCCTAGTCATTGTAGGGAAAGCACACAGGCTAAGATATGAGATTCTTTTGACCAGAGGATTGACCATGTAGAGAACAGAAAGGTGGAAAATAACTTGAGCCATACTGACAATAACATAAGAGTCCAAACTTCTCAAAAAAAGGAAAAAAGCAGTAGAATAAAACCAGTGGACTTCAAGAAGGAATACTTAAAAAACCTGAGACTTCCTTCCCATGAGGTTTTTATGTATCTTTTCTCTGAGGGGAAGAAGAGTTCAGGACAGTTGGCACTTTCTTAAAGACACAAACTAKCCCTGTGTGAAGGAAAGATAGGAAGTACTGTAAATTACGAAGACCCACTTAGCTAAACCACAAGGAATTGTACAAAAAGTAGAAACTAGATCAATAGATGTGTATAAAAAAGCACACTGGGACAAACCCAGAAAGGCAGGGCACAACACAAGATAAAACTAGCAAGAGCCATTTCACTATTGTGTAAAAAAGCCCCAACCAAAAACAAAACCGAAAAAAACACACCAAGAGGAAAGCCAAAAAACTCCTCATTTATCCTCAGTGGGAAGGAAACACTGATTGAGGCCAGCTATTTAACTTCTTTTTGTTTCAGTCCTCAGCCATCTGAGTGTAGGCTCAGAGCACCAACGCCAGTGACAAATGAGTACAAGCTTTTGCTAGAATGGGGGAACAAAATCACACAAGGCAAGCTGTTCTAAGACAATCTCAGAGACATCTGCTGCTATCTTGGAGAACCCATGGAAGACAGACAAGTTTTAGATGGCAAATACAATTCCTTTTTTTATTGAAGGAGATGACGATGAGATATTGGAAATTGTGGATCAATCAACCTAACTCACATTTCCACAAGGAACTTTTAAGGCCTTAGTAATCCGGTAAGTAGCAGCTAACACGGATTTGTGGGAAAATTACCTTAACCATTATGATTTATTTTTTCTGTGACAGAGTAAAAAGCCACGTGAAACAGCAAATGTCTTGGTTGTATTTTTACAAAGAGGGAAACAAATTTGAGGCAGGGATACTGTTACATTCAGACCTTGTTCACAGTACYATCAGAGATACCAGAAAGCTTCAGAGAGGTCTGGCATTTACTATTCTCATTAGGATTTGGGTGACATTTGAAACAGTAGAACTGACCAAAGGCAAAGAGTATAGAAGTCAAATGAAAAGTGTGAAGATCTGAACCTGGCAGGGAATGAATGAAGGTACAGCTGCAGCCTGGGAGAAAGAAGGCTGGGCAGGAATCTTGGTTATATTTAAGGCAATCTGACACTACTTGTCCATGTGGACTGACTGGTACCTGATAAAGCAAGGAACAAACCCAGTTAAGGGAACTTGGCTATCTGGGGCTGCTTCTTTTTGTAAGACCCACAGAAAAYTAGTATCTTAGATCTCTGCAGTCAGACCTGGTTGAGCATGGCATCCAGATTCAAAAGGATGGAGAGTGACTGGCACACAGACTGCTTATCTGCTATATGCACTGCATTCCTGGTGAAAATACACTAAAAAAGACCCTCTGGTATCTGCTTGTGAGGCATAAAAAAAACCTTTTCACTTCTAGCAAGCATTGATAAGACTTTGACCGGACCCTGCTTTGGGTCCCCTGYTTTCAAAAGAGGATGGGAAATATTCTGAGCTGAGATGCAAAGACAAGGAATGCTAAGCAGCCCAACAGACTTGGATGAAAACACTASAGAATACTTTTCTTTCCTAAAAAGAATTAAACCAGATTGATGTAATGAATTTTGAATTCTTTTCTGCCCTTTCCCATGTTTATCAGGTATTCAGAAAGAGAGCTTTAAGACTGGACATCAACACAAATTGATGGTGCTTCTCTGACACAGACAATGGTTTGGAGCATTGAGTTATCCATGAACTCTGAGTATCTAGGGGTTACTTCCGAAGGCAGGTAAGAAAGAGTAAGAAAACTGAGCATGTTCAGTGGTCTTCAATGGCTGCATAAGCATCTTTGGAAAATACTAGATCTATACCATATCCATATGTGTAACATAACCCAATTATTTGATCCATTATTACTCCAGTATCAGAGCAAGACAAATATCTGTAAGCCAAAACAGGAGCCACTGGTGAAGATAAGACAGGATAACATCTGTTCCCAAACTGCCCTACAAGAAATACARTCCTCACAATATTTTTGAGAGATAGGTATGTAATACAGCATTTTTAAGTTGGTTGCTGCTTGTCTAGGGAACACTCCTCAGCATGAGTGTAAGAGAAGAGCGGGAGCTTTTGATAAAATTTGCTACATACTTTTGGGAAAAGAAACCAATTAGGAACTTTGTTCATATTTAATATATTATAGCAAGATACATATTATGAAATACACACTTTATGAAAAACGTCTGTAGCACTGAGCTTCACTTTCTGAGCCACAAATCAGAGCAGTTACGTGCTGAATGCCATTTCCCAATTTTGAACTGTCTTTGTTGATTTCTTTTTCAAGTCCTGCCAGACTGTGGTGTGAACAGGCACAAGCATGAAATTAATTTCTTTCGCCTTTCAATGCCTGGAAGTGATGTTTTGACTCTATGAATGAACAAGATGATGTTTTGGGTTAATAAAGGTAAGAAGACTCAAGGCATGAGGTCGGTGTGTGTTTTTGCCAGCTTTGTGGATGACTGGTGGGCAATAGAGAGATGCCACAAAGCAGCACCATAAGAACCTGCACCTACATTAACATATTGCTGTTAAAAAGCCTCACGGTTGTTTATCTGGCCTGTACTCAGAGAAGAGGAAGTAGAAGACAAGAGATTTACATAGGATCATTAAAATTTTAGGTTCAGCCTCACTGTGAATTACAGTTTGAAATTGGAAGATGGGACTAGAAAATGAGGATAAACAGATGTCCATAAATCAGAACATYAATCCAATGGGGGTTTTGGCACATTGTCAATTACTACGTCCTCTGCTTTACTTAAAACAATAAGTTTGGAATTTCTTGGGGAATGCAAAAACATAGCTCAAAAACACATGCAAGATTTTTTWAAAAAAAATCTCAATCAACCAACCATCAATCCACAAAACAATGTAACTTGCTGGTATAGAGATTTGGGCTTTTATTGTACTAGGTCCTTAAAAAAAAGGTAATTTAAAAAAAAAAAACCAGTTTTTAAATTAAGATAACATGTAACTAGTGTAACAAAATGAAAGAGGGGTTCATCACAGATGCCTCTGTATTCCTGTGGTCTGTATAATTCTGTACTAGGTACCCACAATTTAATAAACAAGGAGAAATAAACTGACTTTAAACRTTACTTAAGGAAACTAGAGCAGCAGATAAAAATCACATACCTGTAACGAGTAGACTCTGTTAGTATGCCCTTGCAGTGTGTGCAGACAGGTCTCTGTCTCTGGATCCCACACTTTGACCATAAAATCATATGCACCACTTACAACCCTTCTGCCATCATATTGAACGCACCGAACTGCAGCGACGTGGCCCATCAGAACGTGTAAACACTGGCCCGTCTCTATGTCCCAAACCCTCAGCGTAGCGTCTCGAGACCCACTGACCACTCTGCAGGAACAAGAAAACCCCTCCTGTACTTAGCATTGGGCATAAAAATATTRCAACAATTAAACCTGGGTACAAAGGGGTTCTGAGTTTTAATCTGGGATGTTAGGTAGCATCGGTGCACTAGCCACAAAAGTTGCAGCTTGGTGTGACATTTTATTAGGGTCTCAAATGACCAAAGTGCTCTTCCTTGCTCTACTCACCTCCTCAGAATCTATTTGATATAACTAGCAATCAGTATTTGAAGAGGCACTTCACTCATGAACAGCAAAACAATGCCATGAGAAATTCTGTGGACTGTTTTATCTACCTCTGAAAGCTTATGAACACACTGAGCTCCAGCCAGTGCTGTGAACATTCTGAGCTAACTAATTCTAACAAATAAACAAAGATATTTAAAAATTTCACTTTTAGTAAAGTAACAGTTATTCTGCTAGAATTTATTTTTTAGTTTATGCTTCTATAAGCTTTTTTAGGCAAGAACAAAAATGAGACAGAATGAACATAATGGAACTTATACAGAAAAACCTCATCATTCTTTAAAAAAGAAGAAATGCAACCAACAATCTTTCTGTCAACAGCTCCATACCAGAGCCAAGTCACAGAGCTCTGCCAATGTTTGTTGAATCAAGACATGGCTTGTTATTGCAAAAATTATGTTATAATTGGTTAAAATTTAAATAAAATACTGCACTGACATACTTAAAAGGCCATTTGGTAAAACGAGTAAAGGTTTCTAACACTGACAAAAGAAGAAATTATTCCGTGTGGGAGACTGGATCACAGTGTAACAAAGAATTAGCTTTGAAATAACGCAGACTGTGACTTTTTGAAGTACATGACTCAATTTTCAGTTCTTCATTTAGTATTCTTAGGCTTCTGCTTCTATTAATCATCTCCTCCCTCGTGTCATGTTTTGCCTGGTTCGTGTTCCACTCGCTGTTGGATGAGGTACCCGAGTTCAAGGAGCACTTTCAGTGAGCACAGGTGTCTAAAGCCAGGCCAGGCTGTGGCTGTAGCTCTGGACAAAGCCTCACCTTTTCTCGTGGAGGTGCATGCAGCGCACGGTGGAGGTGTGTCCGTACAGGGTGTGGATGCACTCCCCAGTCTCAGCGTTCCAGACTTTCAGCGTTCTGTCTGTGGAGCCACTGATGATGATATTGTCCCTCATCTGGGATGACCACACTCCGCCTGTGTGCCCAACCAGTGTTCTCAAACACTGAAAAGAAACATTTTCCTTAGTTACCCTTTTGACAGAGGGGAATGGAGACTTTAAGAAAAAGCARTCTTGGAGGTAAGTTGGCTCTCTCTCCAGAAGACCCCTGGAGACTTCTTTCTGATTGAATAAAAAAAAAATACCCTTTTAAAAAAAAACCTCATCAAATTTCTCTCTCAATTGTTGGTACTCCAACTATAAGGATTTTTTCCTTGTAATCTTCCCCTTGACAAACYAAGCTGTCTTTCTAAATTTCTCAATACAGAGACATGTTTTGCAGCCTTGAGTCATTTTCCTGGCATTTTTCTGAGTCACTGCAGGATTTCCAATAGCTTTTTGAAGCATTTTAGAAGGGAGAGAGCACACACTTGGTAGTTTTACCACCAATCTATAAACCACATATATTTGTTGTATTTTTTCCTGTTTGTTTATCCAAGAACCATCGCTCTCTGTAAGCCACAGCTACAGCACCACTCCTGCAAAATCATGTTTCAGAGCTTCTTCAGACTTTACTGTTGCCCAGGAGAGAGTCCCACACTAMATAAGCACAGCCTCCCTTCTTTGATCCCAAATGTATGACATGGTTTCTCACCATGYACAGACAGTGTTTGCTCACACCTACTTCCCCAAAACCCCTGTCGGCCCGGAACAATGGCTTGTCTCTGTCTCCCAGCCTGTTTTCCTCACAAATAATGACTATACATGCTTTCCCACCAGGCTGCAATAAATGCTAATTAGCACAGACAAGGAAAGATCATTGCAAGACTCCTCGATAAAGATACTCCATGAAGATTCTGCATTTACTTTAACAACATGATCTCTATAATTACCCATTTTCTAACCCATTTAAATATGTGCCATGTTGATTTTTGTATTATTCTATTTTCTTCAGTTCTGTCATGGGGATACAGTCTTTCAGTGCACACAGCCATCTACTTCTGCACTATTATTTTTATCAGTCAAACCTGTAACTGTGGAGAAAAGAGGTCAAGGCAGTTTGAGGATCTCTTTTTCTGTAATCTAATGCTAAGTGGCATTAATTGCCRTGGCCTTCCTTTAACTGTTAGTTGACTCCTCTTGACGTAGTCCCATATTTTTTATCTGAGATAATGTATCCTAAAGACCCAGTCTTTCAGTTTACTCCATTTAAACATTGATGTATTTAAGCTTTCTAATTGTCCTGGATCTTGTTGTGATCATACCTTTTGAAAATGCACTAATTTTAAGCCAAAGGTTCCTTCAAAATAAAAAAAATAATCAAATACAATTATCTGGATCAACTGTAATAAGAAAAACCGTAACTTTGGTAAGTTGTTAACGTGAGTTTCTGCTGAAATGCTCTATTACCACTGCAAGCTGTATTATCAGCACATGTATTTTCTTCCAAAGTGTTTTTTTTTTTTGCATCAGTGATAGTATAGTAATTCCTGTTGCTAGTATCCTGTTCTTTTTAGCATCCTTGAAAATGGTTTGCTTTTTTGTAGTACCTAGATTTCCTGCTCTTTAACATTTTTTAATCAGTCTTCTGCAATTACTGGCTCCTAGCCTAATTCATTGCTATCAAATCCATCTTTTTCAGTTCATAACTGATGTTCCCTTCTACAGTTCTCTTTTTTTCCTTATTWCAGCCAATGTGCTCATATTTTAAGAAATCATCCTGTTAAAGTAGTAAGAACACAGAATCCTTATTTTGGGCTTTACATCTGTCAAAGGAATTATTTAGTCATGTTCATTTGCACAAACCAACCTTCAGGGTTTCTTTATTTTATTAATTCTTCAGCATCAGTAAGCATGAGGGCTGATACAGCATGCTTCCRTCCTTCACACACAATTTCTGGTTCTCTTAAAGGTTTGGGGTAAATGGTCATATTGGGTTTTGTAATTACTTTCAAAAAATTACTGAACAGTAATTGTTAAGTCATGCCATTGTGCTCAATTTTATACATTTAAGGGAACGTTTTGCTTTTGGGAGTATGTACAAAGAAAGTATTCTTCATTTGCGTTTAGGTTGCCCTTTTCAATTAAAATAAATGTACATTTCATTATGGGATCCTCCATTAGACAGTTTGTTGTAGGAAAGCCAACAGCAGCAGGGTGAGGCTGCCTATGGCTCTTAATTTTATTCTTACCCACAGTAGGATTAACAATCCCTTCAAGGATCTTCTGGGCATGCAATGACAAATGCTGAATACATTCAGCTTTGACATTATGAAGTGAATACCTTTTACATCTTAAACATGTTATCCTCAGMAGCTGTCCTGTTGTTATCTATACCACTAAAACCAAGCTAAGKGCACACAATACCAGTCTGAAAGGAAAAAGTACTATTTCCCCAAGGCCTTTTCCACATCCTTGGTCGGTCAGTCACCTCAAAAAAAAAAAAAAAACCTGTGGGCTGAGTAGCTGTGATGTTTTAACATGACTGAAATGTTCAGCACTGTCTTTTTGATTGCACATATTGTTTTGCTTCCCTAAGCCAGAATTAAATTATTGAAGCTTATTAAATTCCTGCCTGAGCTGGATCTAATTTAATAGGAAATATTTAAACCTAAAGCAAGKTAATTTTTTTTTTGGTGGCTCAGCAATATAGTAGCTTGGAAAGAAAAACAAACTCTGCATTTGAAATCAAAGCCAGTAAAATGAACACTCCATTTCAAAAACTTGAAAACAATAGAAAGAATGCTAGAAGACAAAACAGAAAGAGAGATCCAGAGGGGTAAAAGCAGCCTAAGTTAAGCTTTAAGGAAGATAAAGTAATKTTTCTGTCCAAATTCTTTAAAATCCATGTCACAAACGTCTCCACAAGAATAGCAGAATTGCCAAGAGAACAAGGATGTATGCCAGTGGTAACATGAGCAGCATTGCAATTTCACATCAAGGTGACTTTTTTGAACTGGAGGAATTTCTGTGAGGGAAAAGACAA